AGGTGCTTTTTGTGTGTTCACCTTTGTAAGTACGTATACATCTCTTCCTGGGGGAAGGTGCTTTTTGTGTGTTCACCTTTGTAAGTACGTATACAATATTATTAATCTATTTCTTTAAATCCTATTTTTCCATTTCCCACTTCATTCATTCGTCCCCTTTCATATTTCATTTATTCTTAATTCTTTTAGTATTTCGCATGTCATTCTTCGTTACGTATTTCTTTATTAATAGAATGAATGGATGAAACCCTTATTTAAAAATAAATAAAGCCAGGGTTAGTCCCTTCAGAACTAATAAAAGGTCTGCTATCCATGGAAGCCCTGGCAATACAATTTATCCATCGTTTTACATGAGAAAGAATTCAATTCCCAAGCGCAAAGGAACTTTATCGTTTACCATCTAACCACAGGAAGTCCAAGCTGGATTATGGCTCCGGCACGTAATGGTGCAAAACCTCTATACTCGTCAAAGAACTTTTACATATAGTGTTGCCTGTTTTTTTCAGAATAAGTGACCTGGACGAGATGGTAGAGTTAGGTCTCTACATGAGTGACCTGGGTATTTATGACAGATCTCAAGAGATGGTGTTATCTGGTATCAAACCATTACCACAACTAGAGTATGCGCGTGATCAGGTAAAAGAATAATCTCCTTCACAATTCCCTGCGCCATCTTGAAAGGTAGCCGTGCCTTTGCATCGAAGCGAGAAGAACAGTGAGCTTGCAATGACAGAGACATCAGGGTGCATAATGGTTAAAGGTGTTAAAAAGTTCTCTATCATTGCAAGCTCACCGTTCGTGTAGCAATGGCGCAGGGAACTGCGAAAGGGACTAGCTATTACTCTAGAGAAGAATCGTATTATCAATTTTAAAAGAATAGTACTTACACCTATTTTTAAGAAGGTTGTCGGAACTAAAGAGGATAGCACTGACGGAGGGAGGGGGATAAAGTGTGCACCGCTGTTCAAGTTCTTTCTATCCTTTGTAGATCGAGCTTTCAAACCCTTAAAATGAAGCATGATAGAGACAGGGGAATAAAGTGCTCACTGCTCTTCGATTAAAAAGGAGCACTGATGGAGAGAGGGGAATAAAGCGCGCACCTCTCTTCGAGTTCTCTCTATCCCTGGTAGATCGAGCTTTGAATACCCTTAAAAAGGAGCACTGATAGAGAGAGGGAAATAAAGTGCGCACCTCTCTTCGAGTTCTCTCTATCCCTGGTAGATCGAGCTTTGAATACCCTTAAAAAGGAGCACTGATAGAGAGAGGAGAATAAAGTGCGCACCGCTCTTCAAATTCTTTCCATCCCTCTTGCTCTGCATAGCTAGATAATATAATATTGATTATCTTTATTTCTATAAAGCGCAAATGTTCATGTGCGCTGTTTACAAAAAGTGTATGTTAATGTCTTAATATATGTATTTCTACCTTCAGCTAATAGACAAAAGTGCAAAATTGGAAGAAAACTTAAGAAAACTTGAAGAGGAAAGACAACGAAGCGACGAACTTCTGTACAGTATGTTACCAAGACCTGTGGCAGATCGACTCAAAAATGGTGCAAAACCAATTAATACTTGCGAGGTAATAAAAACGATTTCTGGCGATCAGCTTGTGCGCAACTTACAGGTTTCCCCATTTCAGACCAGGTGTCATTCCCTAGAATATAATTTCTTTGTTTAACAGTTGCGCACGAGAAGAAACATGAAGATATATGAATATATATGGATACACTAGGCAATTCAAACAAAGGATCTTACTCTCAAGACCACGTGTCATTCCCTAGAGTATCATTTCTTTGTTTAACGGTTGCACATGAGAAGAAACATAAATATGGATACAACTGAAACAAAGAATCTTATTTTTAAAAGAATGACACGTGATCTGAAATATGAAAACGTCACGCATACTGAAGGGAAAAAACATTGTTTGTGACGCTTCAGGAGAATCATTAAGTAATATTTCAAAGCCGACAATGAGGACTGGACGGGATTTCAAGTCAAAGCAATTCTAACTGCGCGGACTTGAAATCCCGTCCAGTCCGATATTGGAGGCTTTGAAATGACTTCTCATCTCATTAATTATTCGACTTAGAGTAACTGGAACAAAATTAATTCAGTCCTGAATTAATTAACTAATTGCTTAGTCCTAGGACTGAATTAATTTTGGTCCAATTACTAGGACTGAATTAATTTTGTTCCTGCTACTCCAGACTGAATGCATTCCTTTCACAGCACTTTACCAGGTTTCAAGTAACATCATGTGACCCAAAAATAACCCATTGATTGGATGGTTTACTCATGAATTGTTAATGAGTATGAGAATGTGGTTTGAGAGTCAAAGAGTCTTTTTCTTATCATTTTGTTGTATTTTGTTTCAGTATTTTGAAAGTGTTACTGTCCTGTTTAGCTACCTGGATGGGTTTATCAAGCTGTGCTCTAGTGTGGATGCCATGGAAGTTGTCACTATTGTCAATAAGATGTTTATTACCTTTGATAACCTCAGCGAAAAGTATGATGTCTATAAAGTAAGTCCCCCAATATAAATTATGAAAACTCACAGAAAAACCTAACATACTGAATTCCAATTTTGTGAGTTAGCCGCCGTGCCTTGACTTTGATCAGTCAAGAATTTGTTTCAGGGTTCGATCTGTTAGTTAGCCATGCCCTGACTTACATCAGCCCAGAGGTTGTTTCAGGGTTCGACCTGTGAGTTAGCCATGCCCTGACTTACATCAGCCCAGAGGTTGTTTCAGGGTTCGACCTGTGAGTTAGCCGTTACCTGGCTTCGATAAGCCCAAAGGTCGTTTCAGGGCTCGATCAGTGAGTTATAACCGTGCAATCACTGGCTTTGATCAGCCCAGAGGTTGTTTCGGGGTTTGATCTGTGAGTTAGCCGTGACCTGACTTAGATCAACCCAGTGGTTGTTTCAGGGTGCGATCTGTGAGTTAGCCGTGCCATGACTTTCATTGTCCAGGAGTTTGTTTCAGGGTATCGATAAAATGTTTGAAGTTGCAATTGCTATCGTTTTAATTCGTACGCCGCGAACATAACTAACAATTTTATTCAACTGATATAGACTTAACAATTTGTTCTTTTATTCCAGTTTGAGACCCTAGGGGATGCTGTATACATGGCGGTCAGCGGGGCTCCTGTTAGGAAGGTGCGCCACGCAGAGCCTATGGCGGCTATGGCTTTAGCAATGATGGATTCGATGACGATGTTTCTTAAAGACATCACTAAACACACCTTAACGTTGTCAATCGGTACGTAATTATTCTAAGAGGAAGCTAGAAAAAAACCGTCCCTCTTTAAGAGTCAATAATCACTGGTTAAAGGAGTGCGTTACACTAATGTACTAACAAATCACTCGTGATTGTAAGCTGCACGGCTGCCAATAGCGCCAATTGTTGGTTTTCAGCCATTCCCAAGAAAATTAAATAACAAAAAAATGCATTGACAATTCTTTTGTTAAGTTCCTCCAACATGGCCGCCGTGAAAACCATCAATATGCAGCCCGTAAAGTCCTCCACTGGTCATAAATCTAAATCGCATTGAGACGATGTATAAATGCGCTATATAAGAACCTCCCAGTATTATTACATCCGCTACTCAACATTAAACATGGCTTTTTTGCTTGGTATTAATAATCAGCTGGTAAAAGTCTATGCATCTCATTATCTTCACCAAACACTGACCACTATGTGCTGTCAACCAGCCAAAAGAATTATATTGATAACTTATCTATATTTCTATATCTTCATGTGTTTCATAAGTGCTATGCGGTCCACATATTCTCATCTTTGCATCACAATTACCGCTACCTAACATCTATTTCACCCCGGCTCAGTCTGACCTCTAGCCCAGCTGGTAGAGCATCGGTAGTACAATTCCGAAGGTCGTGGGTTCGATTCGAGGTCGGAAATTAATTTTTCCGAATATAATTCCAAGGGCTTTCGCCCGGAATAACCTCGTTCCTAAGCACTATAACTTATCTATATTTCTATATCCTCATTTATTTCATAAGTGCTATGCGGTCTACATATTCTCATCTATATTGATAACTTGTGATTCAGCTGACGAACCTAGGCAAAACAATTTCATGCAGTTACAACCTCTCCTTTCGGTAAAGAAATATCGCGGAGCAAACACAAAAACAGTTGCGTGCAGGCGTTGTTACGAAAAAAGTAAATATCGTGCGCATTTATTTTATGTATTTTATTTAAATCTTTATTTTACGAGGGTAAAATAATTAACCTCTAAGCTATCTAACTTATTACCCTCGAAAATATAATTATTTTGATTGCGAAAAGAGAATACTGAAAAAACACAAACTAATTTTATTTCATTCTTTATTTTACGAGGGTAAGATAATTAACCTCTCAGCTATCTAACTTATTGCCCTCGAAAATATAATTATTTTGATTACGAAAAGAGAATATTGAAAAAACACAAAATAATGTTCACCGAGAGTTGAGTGGCGAGTACACTGAATAAGCCAATAGGGCGGCCAATCGTGATTCAAGAAAGATGACGATAGTAGACCTGTTGGAGTCGTAATTAGTTTCTTCAAATTACAGGTTTCAAGTGTCTGATATGCCCATAATCGTGCTTCAAGAGAGATGACGATAGTAGACCTGTTGGAGTCGTAATTAGTTTCTTCGAATTACAGGTTTCAAGTGTCTGATATGCCCATAAATCAATTCTTGCAAACCTCCCCCTCAATCATCTAATGGTCCATCCCTTATTAAGCCAAGTGGTTTGCGGTTTACCAAGTTCAAAGCATTAGTCATAAAAAACACATGCGGTTTGCTTTTCGGTACGAAGGATTATATTCATTGGAAATACCAATCGATGGAAAAGTTAACCTTGAGATCCCCCGGGTATGCGCATATCCCTTAGAGCATTGGTCACAAAAGACACATGCGGTTTGCCTTTCGGTACGAAGAATTATATTTATTGGAAATACTAATCGATGGGAAAGTTAACCTTGAGATCCCCCGGGTATGCGCATATCCCTTAGAGCATTGGTCACAAAAGACACATGCGGTTTGCCTTTCGGTACGAAGAATTATATTTATTGGAAATACTAATCGATGGGAAAGTTAACCTTGAGATCCCCCGGGTATGCGCATATACAGCGCAATCCCTTAGAGGCGTTCTGTGATGAGCCCACGTTGTTTTTAGTTTCGAAAATTAAGAAAATAACGATAATAAAATAACATGAATAATTCCTGTCAGGAATGAGATCGAAATTAATTTTTTAAAAACTGTTTCTTTCCGTTCAGGCATGCATTCTGGCTCAACAGCCGCTGGAATAGTAGGACAGAAGATGCCACAATATTGTTTATTCGGAGATACTGTAAACATCGCTGCAAGACTACGAACAACATCCTTGGTAATTAATATAGCACGTGATCAAGTCACGTGATAGATACTTTGTTCAAATATCTGTCTGATTACTGAGTAAGATTTCCCCTTATTTCCAAGTCAGAGAGCGGAGAGAGAGAGAGAGAGAGAGAGAGAGAGGGGGGGGGGGGGGGTGGGGGATTCATTTATTATTCAAAAAGCCACAGTTTTAAGTGACTGCTTTTTCTGCGTCACAATTCTTGGGTACACGTGACGTCATAGTCTCCAAGTGACTTTTACAAAATCTTACCTTTTTTAATTTCTTGTAATATTTAAGAAAAAGTCTTATAGAACATCAATTTTGATTTGAACGAATACATTCTCGTGCAAATATATGTAACGGCTAACACAATGTCCAAAACACTGTATTGAATGCGTGTTGTGGTTTATTATCTGCACCAAAACGCTAATAAAATTTTGAAAACGTTAATAAACCCACGCAAACATATTCATGATTGTCAAATTCAATGCTAAATTTCTTAATGAAAGTTCCATCGCACTCTTGAGACTCCGTTCGCCTTATTGTATGCCTGTTCGCTCTAACGACAATGCTTTTTTGCTTCAATGAATATTCCTTTGCGGTTAATGAACAGCAAAAGGTGTATTACATGACTATCTCAGGGCCCAGTTGTTCAAAGCCCGATTAGTGCTAATCCTGGGTTAACTCTTAATAAGACCTATAGAGTTAATCCTGGATTAGCGCTAATCCAGCTTTGAACAACCCGGCCCAGTACTAGAAACTTTTTCACGTTCTGACAAAAATCACTAGCTCAGAAACCAAATTTCCAAGCAGATTTATTAATTTAGTTCAGTTTTCAGCCGATGAGAATTCACATCAGTGATAGCTGCGACGCCTGTCTCAAGGGCACAGAATTTCAGACAGAGTTTCGGGGATACATACCCTTAAAGGTTAGTACTGAAAGCTGCAGTGCGGAAAACACCTAAAATTGCGTCACCTCAGATTGAAACCCTGAAACAACCTCTGGGCTGATCTAAGTGAAGGCAAAGCTAACTCACAGATCGAACCTTAAAACAATCTGTGGGCTGTGCGATCGAACCCTGAAACAACCACTAGGCTGATCAAAGTCAGGCATCCCCGGGGGGCACGGTTAACTCACAGATCAACGTGTAATTTAGCTTGATAGGTTTTGTGTAGGGAGGAAAACCGAAGAAACCGCAGAAAATCCCTCTAATCAAGGGAGAGAAATATGTCGAATTCTACTCATACATGATGCAAGTCCAGTCCAATCCTAACTATATTTACGTTGATTCGTAGGGACTCAAGGAAGAAATGAAAACCCATTGGTTAATAGGAAGGAAAGATGAGATATTAAAGGAACAGAGAAGCTAACGTATGACTAAATTGAGTGAATCTCGACAGCACTGCGAGTGGTGTAGCTGCGAATAAATGGTAGATCTTGACGAAAAACCTCGAGCAGGGTGGTGAAATACCTCCCTGAATCGAAGAGTAATCTTAATTTGTACAATTGAGAACTTTTTTAAACATTCAATGTTTTTGTATACCGGAAGAGCAATGGGTAAATGGGCTTTCAAATTTGTGAATTCTAGCGACAAAGCCAGGAAGCTTTGGGTTGGATTTTCCGAGATGAAAGGAGGCGATAGTTGATTGGATCCTTGAAGGAGCTAAAGTTTGAGTGGGCAAGAACACTCTTTCTCAAATAATAATCCTATTTCGTCTTTTGTATTCAAATCTTTTTAACCAAGAATATGATTTTATATTTTGGACTTCGCTGGTTTTACTTGAGAAAATATCCAAAGCGCAAAAGAAATGATTTCTAAGCATGAAAACAATATGGCAGCGATA